CAGGCTGGTGGCAGCTCCCACGGTTGCCTCCCGTGTTGGTTCCCAGTCCCGGCCCTGGACTGCCTATGCTGCTTTGGAAAGTTTTTTGTTTGTAGTGCTGGTAGTGACTGCAGCCCACGCGTCGGTCGTGCCTCTCCGAAGCAGCTCAGCGCTTGGCAAAGTGTAGCGAGACTTCGACGAAGACACCAAACGCCAAGTTTTTCCCTGTATGTCTTCACCAGACGAGCACGAAACTGGGGTTTGAGCAGCCAAGGAGGCTTTGGCAAAGTTTCTTATCTTTTAGTACTGCTTCCATTTTGATGGTCCGTCTTAAAAATGAGAACAATCCTGCTTTTCTGCTCTGTAGACCCTCCTCCCTCCGCTTTGGGGAGTGCGTTGGGACCCTCGGCTGAAGGCTGCTTACGTAGCAGTGCTCCTGGACCGTCTGGTGGCAATTATTTTCACATACGCCTCCGACTGGGGCTGCCGCTGGTATGTTCAGACATCTGAGACTGCTTTAGCCCTCATTAAAACCATGTCTGTAGTGAACTGCTCGCCTCACCAGCTACACTTAAAATTGATTCAGAGACTGGCTTTTTGCCATGCAGCCCTTGATACGGGAGCTTCCTATAAGGACTGGAAACGAGTGCAATGATTGAGTGGGTCCGGATGCAATTCCTGACCCTGAAAACCTGTGTATATCTCTGCCTGCTTCCTGCCCGGGCTTAGGTTTGTCTGGGAGAGACCCGCAGTGCTAGAGTGAGGTCTGATTTTTGGCCATGATCTAGTTTTACCGAGCTTTTGGGTTTTACATCCTGCTGTGTGGCCAGATGGCCATCGGCCTGCAGGGTGATTTATCTTAATCTTCCTTGGGAGCGGGGAGGAAGCGGTGCTGAGCGGTGGGGGTGAGCGAGTGTCAGCGAGCCACTAGAGCCAGATGGATTTAGGTGTACTGGTTCCCAAACCGGGGGGACTTGCCCTGCTCAGTGGAAACAAATCCTCTAGGCCATTTGTGCATATTGCATGGAAAAGCGCAGAAGAACCCCTTTCCCTTCCCCTCTCCACCGTTTCCCTCTCCTTTTTCCATATCCACTTGGTTCCCTATCAATTCAGGACCCCATCAAAATCTGCTTTTATTGTCATAAACTCTTCACAGACCTTGAGTCCCTTGACCGCCCCGCCGGCTGGTGCGCTGGTCTGGCTGGCCTGACCCTCCCCAGCAATCTCCATTTCCCAGTCTTGAGACTTGAAGTAAGGCTTGAAACCTTCTTTCTCTCTGGTCTCTGCTTCTTGGTTTCTCCCTTTCTCTGTGGCTTTTAATTCCATAAAGTCTTTGAAAGAGTTCCAACCCATAGCCATCGTGGTACTTCATTACACGGCAGCGAAACGTCTGGTGGGGTATGCAGAAGAGCTTGCTTTGACCTTGCGCTGCCATGACCGACACGCACGCAGCTGGAGTCAGCAAGGTTGCCTGAGGCTGAACAGAGCTGATTCAGTCTTCTTGCCCCCTTACTGATGCTCTGATTTGCCATATCAGCGTAAAGTAAAGGAGTTAATGGATTAAATAGAAATAATCTGCTAGGCAAAAATAGAACAGGATGAGACCAGCTTAGTATCACTAGAAATATGATGCTACGTGAAGGTCAGATAAGCCCGTGTGTGTGTGTGCAACAGCTGTAATACAAGCGATGTGTATCACCTTTGCTGATGGGAAATATTTCTCGCTAGGTTACCGTGTGATACGGCATCTCACTTGGGCACTGAAATGCTGTGCTCGTATGGAGCCTGTGATGTGCCGTGGCCTGGAGCTGGGTTCCACATCTTCCCCCTGGGGACTGAGCGGCCTCAAGGGAGGGGGAATAACAGGAGGCAGGGCTGTAGGCTTTGCCCCTGCAAGACGTTTGAATGCATGAGCAGCGGAAAATACTGCCTCTGATAATAAAAGAGTTTGTAAATCCCGTCCCTGTTATGACTGAGAAGCCGTGTTAGACATACAGGATGGGGAGTAGGGATGCCTGGTGTGGAGAGCAGGGAAGCATGCTGGCCGTGCTTTGCCGTGGCAGCCCCGAGCGTTTGCTCTGCCCCACTGCCTTCCGTCTCTCAATTCCTGACCCCAGCTGGTGGTAGGATGCAGCTCCATAATGATTGAAATCCCACGGGCTGTGGGTCCCGTCCCTCCCGTGCACGCCTGCCTGGCTCTGCCGTGCTGCAGCAGCAGCTCTCGCTGGGGTCAGCGGCTGAAGGCTTGGGTTTGATGGAGCGCTTTGTCTCCTTTTGTTAGGCTTGCTGAACCCTGTCACTGCGCTAGGCCTGCGGTCAGGGCATGGAGGAGAGCAGGGATGAGGATGGGGCTGTAAGCAGCCAGGCTCAGTCTGGCCGAAGCTGCTGGGACCGCAGACCCCACATTTCCTATGGGCACGCTCGTACGGCGTTGCTCTCTCCAGCCCCAAAAGGCCATCGGTTGCCCCATCCTTTCTCCCCCCTTCCTGACCTGCAGCAGCTATCAGACAGAAGCTAAGCGGGGTCTA